CGAAACCCTAGTTATGAGTCACATTCTCTCTCCCGCCCCCCCCCCCCCCCCCCCTAACACACACCGCTCCAAGCGCCCTCGAAAGTACTGAACTTTTTCAGTTAAGACCGATTTTGTAAAAATGAATTCGGCGTACTTTTACCAGTTATATTCGGATTAACCCGAAAACGCTGAACCCTACATATAGCGTTTGAAGTTAACAAACGCACGTCTCAAATAAGGCACTGTAAAAGGATTGAGGTTCCAGGACAATTCGTCGAAAGCCAACTCGTCGACGGCCAATTTTTCGAATCTGTTCTTTTGGAAGCAAGTTCGTATCGGGGAGTATTCTCGATGCGCGCATGACGGCTCCCAGGGCAGTACCGAAGCCCCCGCTGGTGTGTATTTTGGCTATTTTGTAGCGTGAGCTACACTGGCCGAGGTTGAGCAGTTTCGCGTGGCTCGCATAATGAGCCGTGCTCCGTGCTGTGCATGGGCGAGGGGCAGTGACGTCACACGGCGCACAGCTGGCGCCCCGGAGTCGCCGCTGCGCCCGCCCTGCCGGTCTGCGCATTCCAGAGGAGTGACGTCATAGCCACGGCAGACGCACTGGCGCCGCCGCGTGCCCAGCTGTGCGCCTCCGTTGCGCAGTAGCCAAGTCTGACGCTGCACCGGAGCCGCTTGATAGCGCCTCTCATTTTGTGCGCATAAGCTCACGCTACGTATATCCTGGCATAGCCGAGCTTAGCCACCGCAATTTTTTCGAGCAGTTTTGCTTATTTTGACGCACAATTTTTCTGGTGATATCGTCTACAATAAATAATTAAATCGCACGGCAATGTGCTGTCGTTAGTTGTTAAAAGGAAAAACAGAAAGCGTGTGCGACAGCGGTTTGTTCAGCCCATGCGGCAGTGTAAGGTCGCAGCATTGAGGCTGCGGCATGTTACTGCTTCACCGGTTTTCACTCGATCAAAGCCTTCGTCGGCAATAATCTGTGAATTTAACTCAAAACGTACAACTTCTCGCCTGCAAGCTCCAGGAGATTTTATTCACGGCGAATGAACCCCGCAGAATCGGTGCCCATGGTACACCTTGAATACATTAAAGTCACCTGATCTTACCGGTTCTATCAATGCATCTGTAATCGACGCACCTCTCGCTTTTTTTTTTCTGGAGAGGGGGGGGGGGGGGCAGGGGGACGTTCTACGCTTAGGTGGTAATTACGAAACAACGAGTACTACGGAACCTCACCGGGCCGCCACAAACCAGGCAGTTCGTAACTTGAACTTATGGATATTTTTTTTTCCCAATAACTTTTCCTCTTTCCCTGATACTTCAAAAAAGACAAGACAACGCAGCCAACATCGACGCGAAGGTATCCCCTCTAGCTACCCAATCTCTTCAGAGATTAGCGTAGTTAAGTAGTAGTAACTACTGCTAACTTTATTTGGTTTTAGTCATCACACAACAGCAACACTCGGGACACTGACTTGAGTGCGATCCCGTCGCCGCCAGCGTACATTTTTTTTTTATTGTTTCTTCACTAGCTGTTAAATAATGCCATGCAATGTCCAACCCTTTTTCGTTTCGTTCTGTTTTGTTTTCATAAAACACTACCTATTACAGCCTTTTTACATGTCGTTGTGCTGTTTTGACGCCGTGCTGTTTTGGCACGTGATCTTCTGTCGCTGTGCCGTTTTGACGCCGTGGTGTTTTATCGCGTGCTATTTTGACGCGTGCTGTTTTGTCGCCGCGCTGCATTGACGCTGTGCTGTTTTGACGCGTGCTGTTTTGTTGCGTGCTGTTTTGTCGTGTGCTATTCTGTCGCGTTTCCGAAGAAACTAGCTCATAAAACTTCAATGCAAGAGCTACACCTTGTGAACGTTACACAAAAGCATGTTCAGTCTAAACTTTGGTGCACTGCAAGGCTGCTTTACCTCAGACAGGTTGGAACATCTGCTGTTTCATTCTTTTCAAGATATTATGCCTGAAAATTAATGTGACAAATTAACTGGATTAAAATTTTTAATTGACACCCGGCCCAAATATTTGGGAAGTATACTTGTGGGTCAATGTCTAATTTACCATAATTATTTTCAGCATCCCGAAGGCGTCGCTTCAGGGTCCAGTTTTCAGTTTGGATCCACCGCAACCTCACAGCCGCAGCCACACTGAAATGTTTGCAAAGTTTCAAGCAGGGTAATTAAAAGGCGGCAGTTTCTTTCAAACACCGCTGTCATTAATTTCGTCTTTTTTGCCATTTTGTTCTATTTAAGGGTGGTTTGGGATGGTTCAATTGCAATCTTCACGCAACCTCTTGCCCTCTTCCCTTTTAGAGCCCTCTATCTAGAAACCCATGCTAGGAGTATAATTTCTAATACATTTTATTTGAAAGTCTAGATACACTGATTTGAGTCTCTGTTGAAAATCAAATGTTTTTTTCTACTGCGTTGCAATTCAGGTTTTGAGGGGCCATCTCATTAGGTATATTCCGACGAGTCGGAATATACCTAATGAGATAGCACGTCAAAACCTCAAGTACAACGCGGTAGAAAAAAACATTTGATTTTCAACCGAGACTCAAAGCAGTGTATCTAGACTTTTTAATAAAATCTATTAGAAATTCTTGTGAGGTGGCATGGCAAAACCTTAATTGAAACGAGGTGGCCAATAGTTTTCGTAAACTCCTTAGGGACTCGTTACAAAAAATTAATTGTTTTTCAACACAGACCCGAAACGGTATCAACAGACTTTCAAACTTTATTCATATGAAATACATGAGAAACTTTATGGGGTAGCACGTCGAAACTTCAATTGGAACGCGGTAGCCAAAAGTCTTCATAAACTCCTTACGGATCCGTTACAAAACTCATTTGCATTTCTATTGAGACTCGAAAAGATACGATGAGTAGACTCCACAAACTTTCAAATGAAATTTATTAAAAAATTCTGTAAGGGTAAGCAGGCTCGATGCAAACAGTAGATACAAGGAGATGTTGATCATTGTTACCAGTGACCATCACTAATTTGCTATGCCTAATTGACTTGGTGCGATTGTGCTTGCGATTTTCAGTATCGACGTCGACCATCTAAGCTACGGTTCACGCTTTTGCAGCCCGAAAATTGTGAGTGAAATCTCATCGTGCGAATCAGGTCTTAGCGTACATACTGCGGCGTCCACGCGGAATGGATCGCCACATGTCACATTATTCACGCGAAGTTTCGCGGTGTAACGAGCCTCGGTAATTTCGCTGACGCCGCTCAAGAAGACAGACATCGCCATGAAGACGTAGAATCAACAATTCGAACGCGAAAAAGAGCAGGGGGACTCACACCGACGCCGACAACATCGCATTTCAATGGTTTGTTTTATGGGCGACGGCGAGCTTCTTGCCCACACCCCCAACGCGCATGCGCGCCGCCGGTGGCGTCCGCTAGGAGCACTCCGGTTAGTTTGTAAACATGAGTTTGTGTATAGGGTCTCTACGGGAGTCAGAGTTGCGCGTCTGTTTTTCACGTGCCACCGCGCGGCTATTCGCCAAGGTCGATCACGTGAGGAGAAAAGAATCCTTCCCAGTGCACGGAAGCCACAGACACGGTCGCTTCGTCGACGTTGCACGCGACCCGGCGTATGTTCCCTTGCTTTCGCATACCTCTTCTCCTTTCCTGTCTTTTTTTGTTTTCTTTTTTTATGCGCGGCGGTGCGTGTGGCGCCGCTATTCGAGGAATCCAGTCACGTGCATACCAGACTACCTGGCCTTGCAGAAAAGCCGACGCTACGGCTACCCGCCGAGGATGAACGTGCAACTCTGGCTCCCGTATGGAGCCTATTCGCGACTCCAGCTTTTTGCTCGCCCTCTCGCGGCGGAAACCGGAACCACGATAGCGAGGGTCCCCGGAAGGCTGGTATGGCGGATCCCAGCGATAATTGCGTTCGTCCGTCGAAAAGAACTGCTTCTAAATCCAAACGGCACTGTTCGGTGCCCCAGTGTACCGCTGCGGTATGGAAAGATAACGGTGAATCGTTTCACCGCTTCCCCAACCTCAAGGAAACGTGCAGAAGAGGCTCCGACATCGTCAACCGACGCGAAGAGTGGGCGCGACTTCTTCGGACAGGGAAGACCGTCACCGAAGCGATGACGGTGTGCTCGCGGCATTTCTCTGCGAGCGACTTTTTATTGCCAGGTAAGAGTGTGCGGATTTGTGGAGATGTATATATATCTCGCTTTTTGGCTTTAGATGGTTCGGGGACTTTGTGCGGCGGCGTACACAATAAGAAACAACACATCCTCCATTGAATATTTTGCCCATTCTGTAGCGCAGTAGAACTCTTCACGCTGATTCAACTAGTTTTCTTGAACGCGCCTATGATCGAGAACATTTTCCGTTTTAGTTCTTTGCACTCGATCATCGTTACGTACGGCGAAGTGGAGCGCGTAAAAGAGAATCGCGCTCGTCAGCCTGGAGCAGTCTTCGGTACAGCACGCTCGATGTGGAATCGGGCGCGAGATTATTCCGGCACAATTAGCAGTGCACTTCTTTAATCTGAAGAGCTTTTCTTCTAACTGATCCAAATTTGCCAGAAGTGAAACGGAGGTTTCTCTTCTGCTCTTAGTTCTGATTACTTTTGAGCCCTGTACCCTCACAATGCGCGTGCAGTAGTTTTTCTCTCCTAAAATGACCGATTTCAGTTTGATTGCTTTTGCAAGCGATACACACCTACTCAGAGTCCCAGGAAACATGGGCTTAATTTCATTTTCTGGAATTTGCTCATTTTAGAGTAAAGTTTCGAATCAGAAGGCCAAAATGTTTTGTTTGCTTTCTGAAATGAGTCACTCTTCAAACTACTTCAGTCCCCATTATGTGATTATCATATCGTTCTTTATTTCCTCCAGGACATGCAACTCAAAGACGCCGTCTTAAGAGAGGAGTGGTACCCTCCCAGAACCTCCCTGTTCTTTCAACTGAAAACAAGGAGAACAGGAAGAGGTTGCGGGAAGTAAGCGAATGCCGCCAGAAGCGACGCGATAAGAGAGCAGCAGTAAAGCCTCTGTTAGCCAAGGTAAATGCATGTCTCGCACAGTCTTTATTTTACTTTCCTATCAATTCAGTTTCTCATAAAAAGTTCAGGTTGATGTGCACACCTTAACACCTGTGACTCAGAAAGTGTGTATAAATATGCCTAAACTTTATTCCAGGTTGCACTCTGCGAAGCTGAGAAGTCCTGCAATCAAGTGGACGACAACGCAGAGTCGGTTGAAGATCATGAAGACAGGGCAGAGTCGGCCGAGGATGGTGAAAGCAGCACAGTGCCCCTGCCTGTTGCGTCGCCAGTGGTCCTCCTTGACATGGGTGTACAGGTGTCAAGTGGGGACTTTGGCGAGAACTTTTCTCGTGTGGTAAATAAGGAAAATGTGTGTTCCTTTACCGGCCTTCCCAACATGGAGCTTCTCACTGTTCTAGAGAAGCTCGTGTCTGATACGACGCCCACATCAACACGAGCTTACCTGTCAGCAAAAGACAAAATAGTCATGACTATGATGGCCTTGAAACATGCTCTAACATTTGACTTCCTGTCTCAGATCTTTGGAGTGTGTCCGACCACAGTGAGCACCACTGTACGGAAGACAACAAGGGTCCTTGCGGCATTTCTTAAGACTGCCATAACTTGGCCATCCAAGGATGAAGTTCTGCATAACTTGCCGGTCTGTTTTGAGAAGTTTTCGCATGTTCGTGTTGTGCTCGACTGCACGGAAATTCCTGTGGGCACTCCGAAGTGTTTGAGGTGTCGCATCAGCACATACTCCCATTACAAAAAGGGACACACCATAAAATATATGGTAGGTGTTTCACCTGGTGGTTTAGTGACCTACGTCAGTAGTGGTTACGGAGGTCGAGCCTCGGACAAGGCTATCTTCGACCAAAGTGGTTTGGTAGATATGCTCTTGCCAGGAATAGACCACATAATGGTGGACAAGGGGTTTCTCATTGACAGCACATGCGAAACAAGGCTGATAGCTGTGGTGAGGCCCCCATTCCTACATGCAAAAAAGCAGCTCTCAAAGGGTGAAGCCCTTGCAACAAAGCGCATAGCAGCAGCAAGGGTTCACGTGGAGAGGGTGATTCAAAGAATCAAGCTGCTCAAGATTGCATCTCAAAAGATGCCCTGGCACATGGTGCCACTAGCAGATGACATTCTTACCATTGCATGTGCCTTAACCAATTTGTCTCCACCAGTTCTCGCAGACAGCAGGTTTCTTTAAGCTTTTCATAAAGGGACGGGGCTTTGGTTAGCTTAAGAGGTAAGCACGCACTTTTCAGTCGAGATCAGAAATAAAACCTTTTTTTTTCCTCAAAAGAATTGAGGTTTAATTTACATCACCTGGGGACATTTTTGGATATATATATTTTTTATTAATTTAAAGTATAACAGGCTAAACCAAAACTGTGTGTCTTTTGGCTGTTCTGCAGCATTGCTATCAAGGTAAGAATGTCATGAGTTTTGCTGCAAGATGACGTCTTCAGTATGAAGGTGGTGTACTGTGAACAATTTAGTTTTGAACCCCTGCACAAAATTGCCCCTTGTTTGTATTGGATTGCCGCAAAATTGCCAAAACTGTTTGCATGTGTATTAATGTAAAGTATAGCTTTAAGTTTTAAAATGTGTATAATTTGAAGTATGTCAATTTGTGATAAATATGTATTATATGCTTCGTGCTTTACCGCCGAGGCCTGTGAGCTGTTTGTAAGCACGCGAAAATAAACACTGAATTGAATCATCCCTGCTACAATTGTTAGTACTTTATCGCACTTGCTTCTGTCACCCTGAAGCGATTCTGCAAAACGCTGCTTTGTTGGTGTAGCCTTTCAAGACTTCACTTTCAAAGCTTCATATTGACTCCATATTTTGTTATGTGTGGCCTGCATGTCTATGTTAACATGTTTTATTATCACCATAGTGATATTATATCAATGGCTCACCTCTCTACCTCACTCGTTGCATTACCTTGTGTCACCGTGAAGCAATCCTGCCAGGCACGTAGCCAGGATTGTTTTTTTTTTTTTTTTTTTTGGGGGGGGGGGGCGTAAGCTGAGAGACTTGCCTTGTGCAGGCAGTGAAATGTTTCTTAGTGAAATATCGGCTCTCACTCTGAGAGCAGGACATTCTTCTGTAACATCTTAGGCCAGCTTCAAGCACTTTCGTGATCCATTTGGCCTTCACACTTGTCTGGTAGTGCCCAATGCGAGGAGATGGCAGCAAATGCCAAGGAACAAACACTAGGTAGCAATGTTTTGGTACAAAGGCATTGCAGTACAAGTTACACGAGTCGCAGAGGAAGCTGGTCTCTGAGGGACACAAGTTTTTGAGTGAAACTTGAGTTTCTTTGTGTAGATTTATTATTAATAAAATATTGCACACTTCTATACAGTTGCTTTCATGCAAGCATCACAGTAAGGAAATTTCAACTTGTTGAAGACAGGTACTAATTCTACAATTTACACGGTGAATGAAGATGCCTGTTTAAGAGTTTAGGATAAATTTTTGTAATTTTGTTCAACATGCATGTTTAGAATGTGAAAGCACCGGTTCTCCTTTGAAAGTTAAATCTAGAAAAAGGTAGGAACAGCGTATGACCACAAAACTTCCTTTTTCTCGAGATGGTGATGAGCGTAGAACATTCACTTTAGTTTTAAATTATAGCATGAACGTAATTGAGCTAGTAGTATATCTCATAAATAATTATTTTATCACATAACAAGCACATGCATACGTCTTCATGTACCACATCAACAGTTCCTTCTGAAGTTAGCAGAAATAAATACTGAGGAATAATCAATCCGAAGAAATAACTAGAAGTTTGAGAGCTTCTAAAAGGACAGTATTGAGCGAATTCTGCATTCTGACCTCAAAGTAAAAATAAGCGCCAAGTTCTTTCCCAACTATACTCGCACACATAGTTTCCTACTGAAGAATGCAGGAGGTGACCAACTCTTGAGACAAAGCCAACAGAAAAAATATTTAACGAGGCAAAACTGTTGCTTCACTGCAAATATGCTACTGCTCACAAAAAGAGATGGCAAAAAGAAAAAAAATGAATCTGTCCTGTAGCCCACTCTAAAAAAACAACAAAGAAAAGTACTGCACTCTAGCGGTCCAACACAGTACACCAGCTGCCGCACCAAGTATCAGACTAGTCGTGTTTTTCACTCTACCGACGAACATAGGACTGGAAGTACACGCTCAAAGTAAATTCTCTTTACGGTTGTCAGGAGAGGCCAAACGAAAGCTTCATCGAAATCCACGCATATGACCTCGATTGAATCATCCATGCTAGCATAAATAACAAGATCACAGGTCTTCACATCAAGAAGAACCATCCCCAGCTGCATCTGCCCATAGAAGGTGTGGCGCTTCTTTTGGCTGTAGGTACCAGCCTCGTCAGTCTCCAGAAAATCACAGGTGGCCAAGAGTGCCTTTGCAGTCATCATTTCTCCCTTCTTCGGACACTTGATTTCGATCAACGTGCCTGGTCGCGACCCCTCGAACACAACGCCATCAGGGGAGCAGCCGAGCCAGGGGTTTTGTGGCGAAACAACGAGTCCACACGTAAAAATGTCAACTCGTCGGGTCTTTGCATACTTCTCCCGTGCCTTTGGCTCGTATCGTAGACCATGGGCCGTTGCGGCATTGCCACGGAATGATGGCTGCATTGTGGACCGCACCTTCTTTTCCCAGTTTCCCAACTTGTAGGTAGAGAGGGGGTAGCATGTTGTTCCTGCAATAAAATGTAGCAAGCAGGTGGTTCCTGGCTTACATTCCAGTAAATACAGCACATAACGTAACAAAATCTGCCTCTCTTGCAAGTCAGGTTACAGGCAGCACTAATTTAATGCACCAGCCATGCTTCTTAGGTCATACATGACACGCCCAGGAACATGAGTGGAAACTACAAAAGCCGGCACCGAAGCACTTGCACGGTAGCCAGGCTTTTGCTCCCTGGTGTACATCCTGATTAAATAAGACCAATGTCGCTTCTCTGATAACTCGGTAAATATTCGTTCATCAAGCGAACCAAGTAAATGAATGCTCTTCTGCTTTGGTTTGAATTATTAATCCTTTTGCTGTCTGCATGGTGTGGGCACAGGAGAAAAATGCAGGCAAATTCACCATGACTAGGCACAACTGCGAGGGAACAAGGGAGTTCTTGAACTTTCCATACTCCGAAAACCTTTTTTGAAAGCGAGCTGCACCTACCGTGTCCAAATGCAACTAGAGGAATGGTAGTTTCCAAATAAAATATTTATCTTAAAACTTCAATTATTTTTAACATTTTTAATGTTTCACATTATAAACGGTTGAAACGCGTGCAATTACAGTATGGAAGCTACCCGAACCTTTCCACGACTCGATGTTTGGTTGTTCCTTTGAATCCTTATCTAGATAAAGATTCGTCCCATTACTAGTTATTAATACACAATAGACTTGCCTGTGATCCGGCAGCGACGTTCCATCATCCAGGCTGCCTTGTTCTCTTTTGTGTCCCGAAGCATGACAGCGGCTGTTTCAACAGAGACAGCGACTTGCTGATCGTAGAAAGAAGAGCAGCCTTCCGGAGGAGAGGCCGGAACTGCGGCAAGCCTTGCCAAAAGATCACTGCCTTCGGCGCACTCTATGACCTGCCTGTACTTCTCGTCCAGCCTTGACGGTTCCGGGACACTGGAAATAGACCACAAGCCAATCTGTACAGTGAACATGATCAAATAGAGCCTCATGACAGTGGCTCAAGCGAAAGTAATGCATAGAGATTCTGCAACCTTAACTTTGCTTGTTTTTCTTTACTATAAAACACAGACAAAGCTCATGTCTAGTATAAATTTTATTCAAATTCTTGTCTTATGCAGACCCCACACCGTTCCAGCTTGCATGTATAGTAATGGGATATGAAACACCAAGCTACTATGAGAGAGATGTTTGTACAGTCCATCAAATGCTGATCCATTGTTAAATCTGAGATTATCTTACTTACTGCACCTGCTACATTGCTACATTCTAATTCATACATACTGCACATACTAGTCCAAGGTTAAGGCTCGTTCCCATAGTTGTGAGCGAGTGTGACTACGACCGCTCACTACGACGTGCGGAACCCATCATAGGGAAGCTGGGGAAACACGAGAAGTCTCTACCTTGCGCACCCTATCATCCATGGGTAGGAATTACAGCTTTCGGCAAAACAAAACGAGCAACAAACTGTTGTGTGGTGCATGCGGCCTCTCTTGGTGAAGCGAAAGTTGTGCCGGCGGTACACCAGCGAACCTAGTTGCAATAATCAGGCACCTAACAAGTAATGAGTTTTAGTTAGAACATTACCCAAACAAAGGCGACGGCCAATGGGTTGTAATGAAAATTGTGCTTCATATGTGGCCGAAGTTTGGTTAAAGCTCTCCCCGTGTAATTCGGAAGACAGTTAAGAAGTCCCAAGCTAGAGGCTCCACATTTCAAACCCTCGTTGAAATAAAAATTGCTGATAACAAACGGCCCCTATTTTTCAACAGATCCAGTGTGTTTGACGAATTATGTGATTACAAAGCAGGGAGGAAAGCAAAAAAACAGTGTTGAATCAACATGTATTATTGCGATCATAGCGACAGCTGGCTTTGCCGAGTACCACGACAAAACATTTGTGCTAAATTCTTTTTACCTCGGAAATTGGGACTGAAAGACCAAAGCATTTGCAGAGATGCGATTGGTCGTAGTCATTTTGGAGCAGCTATTGGAGCAGCCAAAAGTTCATTTTGGAGAAGCAAAAAGAGCTTATGGAGCATAACCGCACACTTCATTTTCATCTATATCACTGCAAATGTGACGAGGAGACGGCAAATATTAAAACAAACACTAGCTGTTTAGTTGTGTGTGGAAGCACTGGACATGGTAACAAGACGGCGACTGATGAAGGACAGTGCAAACTGCCGTGAGTGATTATTTTAGGTATGAAATCCCACTGACCAAATGTTGAAATACAATCATTTTGGACACTTAGATTTATCTGTCCTACAAGTTCTGGGGGGAGGGGGGTTGTAACAAAGCTGCAATTTATAATTCAGACAAGAAACAAAGAACAAAGCATAAAAAATAAACCTACAAAAGCATGGGCCACGTCTCGCTCTGGAGGAGTACCTGTCCCCTTAGCACGCAGGCGCGCTGCGGCGAAGCAAGACACACAACATCACGATGCCTAGTTCGCAATCGTCGTTTCACTGCAGCACACCAGTATGCAGTGAGAAGCGCACTCAACAGAGCTAAGTAACCCACCAGAACAGACCACGAGAGTTATTGCGAAACTTCCGAGTACTGTCAGTGCTTGGTGCAAAATCAAATCGAACAGTAAGTTATTTGAGGCGATTATCGAAAGTCCTGAAAACCCGCACGAGCCTACCGTAACGATCCGGCCCGGTAGCAAGGCCTGCAACTGTTATATTTTCAGTATTTTTTAAGTGAACTTAAGTTCTGGCGCAAATTCCTCACATTTTGGTCAAATGTAGCAGGGTAAGCACTTTGGCGCAAATGGCGCAGCAATCACATCACCCATTTGCCGCTCCCCCAACCCCGGTATCCCCGCTTGATCAGCGACATCATTCCACACAGCACAACCAAGCAGAGCAAGCTTCCCCCTTATGCTTACGGGATCATCACCC